GATCTCGTACAGCTAGAATGTTCCTAGGAGTTCCAGTGCAGCACCTTTGTACTCTTTCATCTGGGTTTCCTTTCTTTCACAAGAACCGTTGATTTGCCCGACCACGAGCTTTGAATCACATTTGACTCTCAGCTTTCCCGACTGCTTGTTAGCTACAAGACGTAGGCCAGACAGTAAGGCTTCATATTCTGCCTCATTATCCATTCTTGGGATTCAGCCAGAGGTTGATCTTATCCATAATTTTGAAGATCTCTTCTAGATCCTAAGCATGTGTGCTGGCTTTGCGGCTTTTGACTATCATGTCATTGACGTATGCCTCCATTCTTGAGCCCGAATGCCATGACTAGATAACAAAAAAAGACCCTGGCCACCATACAGGTATAGGTGGCATGTGAGTTCTTGAGCCCGAATGCCATGACTAGATAGCAAAAAAAGCCTTACGGGGTCATGAATGTTGTTTTCTGGGAATCAGATTCGTTCATGAAAATATGGTGATAGCCTCGGAAGGCGTCCAGGAAACTCATGAGCTCACAGTCGGCTGTCTCATCGACGAGTTGATCGATGTTCGAAAATGGGAATGGATCCATCGGGCAAGCCTTGTTGAGGTCAGTATAATCGACACACATGCGAAATGTTGGTGGCTTGGGTGCAAGGACAACATTCGCTAGCCAATCCGGGTATTCGACTTCGGCGATGTGATTTATGCTAAGGAGCATAGTCACCTCAGCCTTGACAAATTCCCGCCTGTCCGTAGACCGGTACCGCTTGCGCTATTTGACAGGCGTCGCGTTGAGATCCACAGATAGCTTGTGCGTGATTATATCACGACTGATTCCCGGCATCTCATCAGGACCTAGTGCGAAAATGACCTTGTATTTAACAAGAACATATATTATTGCTTGCCTCAGTCCCGGCGTCAGATTTGTCCCGATCTGAACAGCTATTTCTGGATTGGCCTGGACCAGGACAACCGTCTCCAGCGTATCCACGGGCCTCGGCCCAGGGATTTTCCTCTTGAAGTGCTGCCTGGGAAATGGTGTTGATGCGCATGTCTCTGGCAGCCATCCTCTTAGTCATCTTCATATAGCAGGATCAGGCTATTTTCTGGCTTCCCCTGCAGTAGCCGACCCAAGACTCAGTTGGGAATTTCATGTAGAGGTGCCGCATGGAAATTACTGCCTCCAGATCCTCCAGTGCTGGCCTTCCAAGTATTACATTATGAGCACACTCGAGTCGCACCACCACGAACTCCACAAGGATCTTAGAGTGGTGAGATCTGTCCCCGAATCTAAGGGTGAGCTCAATAGTGCCCTTGACGTCTATGGAGTCACCGGTAAATCCGGAGAGGGGAGTTCGGATGGGCCTCAGAGAGTTGAGGTGGAGGTCCAGCTCATGGAACGTTTGTATGTACATGATGTTAACAGAAGATCCAGTATCAACATAGGCGCGGTGAATGATGGCCGCGTCCACCTCACATTTCACCACCAAAGCATCCCTGTGGGGGGAAGGGAAGTCTGGCAGATCATGATCGGTGAATGAGATCACATCCGACCTTGATCTTTTGGAAGCAGGTGGGGGGTTTGTGATTTCCCCCACGTAGAGCTTGTTGTTCCATTTCTTCCTTTGTGAGGCGGTGTCACCACCCATGTTTCCTCCGACTATCATCCGGTCCTCATGTCGGCGCCGCTGGTTGCGCCTGTTATCCTCGGCTGAATCATCGTCGGAGATCAATCCAATATCCTTCTTCCTTCGATAGCGGTCTGGTTCCCGCTCCTCATCCCGGGATCTGCGCTTATGGCCACGCTTCTGGCCGGATTCCGGTTTCCGGACAAACCGTGATAGGTAACCCATGTTGATCAACTTCTTAATCTCTAGCTTCAGTGTATGGCATTCATCTGTTGTGTGGCCATGAAACCTGTGAAACTTGCAGTAGGGGCCTGATTTGTCCTCTGGCTGGATCTCGTTAATCCGTGGGTCCCAAACCACCAACCCTTCCTGATCAGCCGCCTCCAGAATGTGGCTGACGGAATGGGTCAGCGGCATCAGGACCTCAAGTGCCATCATCTTGGGACCAGTCCAGGGGCGTCTTCTTCTGAAGTTGCCCCTGCCTCAGTGCCTGTCATTGTCATCGCGGGGCTTTTCCTCCCGCGGCTGTTTGGGCTTTTCCTGCTGCTTCTGCTCCTGCTTTTGGGGCTTGATAGAATTTTCCTGAGCCCTTTTGCGGTTGTGCACTTCCTCCGCTAAGGCATAGTTCTTCCCGCGGTGAAGCGCCTGCTGATAATCCCATGGGGGGTCTATGATAAAGCTCCTGGAGAAGGCTCCAGACCACAGGACTTCCTGCAGTATGGACAGACGGGTGTTGTCGTCTGCCCCATAGACCTTGGAGGTCTCTTCGTTCCAACGCTCCAGGAACTTGCTCAATGGCTCATCTCTGCCTTGCTTGACGGATAACAAGTAGGAGAAGTGCCTCTTTGTCTTTGCCCTGGTGGCAAAATGGGTGAGGAAGCATGTGGCCAACTCCCTCCATGAGTCAATGGACTCGTCGGGCAGGTCGTTGAACCACTCATATGCCTCCCCCTCTAAAGTGGAGGGAAACATCCTGCAAATGTACTCGTCGCTAGCGCCCAACATATACATGTCGGACTGGTAGCGGGTATAGTGCTCCTGGGGGTCAGATTTACCCCCATAGAGTTGGATGTTGGGCCCCTTGTACTTTGGGGGTACGAGGGCCTGCATTATCTGAGTGGTGAAAAGGGTAGCGGTCCTTAACCTCACCGTGATGGGCTCATGGTTGACCAGAGCCTACACTTGCTGGGCCTGGAGTGCCAGCGCTTCCAGCTGGGGGCGGTGGCGGTGTCACTGTGACTGGTGCAGCCCGCAGCTCATTAACCTGCTGAGTAAGGAGGCGGATCTGCTCCTCCCTAGGATCCACCTGGCGCTGGCGCCGTGGTGGAGATTCAACATGCCGCCTTGGCGGTGAGAGCCTTAGCTGGCGCAGGGGTTGTTGCTGTTGTTGGCGCGGTGGAGAAGCGCGCTGCTGCCTTGGGGGAGAAGGCATCTGCTGATGGCATGGGGGCAAATCTGGGGGAATGATTGTCCCCTAGCCTCTCCAAAACGGGTACACGCTCTGGAGTCCTTCTCCCAGACTGTTGTTGCTGTTGCTGGGGGGATGTTGAGAACTGGGTAATTCACCCGGTTAATCCCCCGAATGTTGACAGATAGGCGCTGATTTGCCTTAGATCTGTCCCCCAATCTGGAGAAGATGGGACGCCTTCCAACTTCAATCCAGGGATTATGGTTGTCATCCTGTTGCTGCCCCTGCGGGGAGAAGGACTGTGAGGAGTCCTCTGTGGTGACGGCGTAGACGCCTTCATCATTGTGGCAGCCGTAATCAACACGGTGTGCCATGTATTTCGTTGGCAATGTGGGAGGAGGCGGTGGAGCCATCCTCTGCTGTGCCGCAGCGGGGTGGGAAGTTCCCACCTGATGTGCTAGAGGCACAACGTTCATAGGTGCTGCAGAAGCCACCAGTGGAGTAGCCCTCTGGCGAGGGGGAGATTGATAGACCATCTGTGCTGGCCTCTCCACCACCAAAGAGGGGCGTCAATGGAGCCCACTCTCAGAGACCGGGACCTAGAGTTCGCTGGCGAGATAGGCCTAGTGGCATGAGGAGCCACTACAGCTGTTGGCTGGGATTGCAACGTGGGTAGCACCTGTTGTAATCCAGAGATGAGGGCGCCAACCGCCGCAGAGGGATCCGCCATCAGAAGATTCTGGAATTGTGGGATCACCTGTGCGGGCGGCATTGCCGCTGCATCACGATTGAGCGAGATCTGCTGACGTAAATCTGGGGAAGCACGCTGGATCTGGCTGCGCAGATCTGTAGAAGTTTCAGCGATTTGCTTTCCCCTGGCGGCCCTCCTGGCACCAGAACTAGCAGTAGCTTCCAGCGAGGGCTCAACCCGTGCGACGACGGTAGCAGCACGTCGGGTTCTCACAATTCTCTTTCCAGCCATTGTTGAGAAAAGCTTGCTATAGATCGGGAGAAAATGTGGGAGGATCTGACCTGTTCACAGTTCAACTCTCAATGAAAGCACCAAAAATGATGGATCATCGGACTGGGGGTAGTCGGAATCCAAACAGAATGAGGGAGTGAACTGATCGGAAAACACAGATAGATAATCCGGCAGTGTAACAGTAAGAGAATGGAGAATGCGATCCCTTTCCACAAGGTGGAAGGTGATATTTATACTAAGAGATAAAAGGCAATACTTGGTGCCCAAGTAAAAAGATGTTGATCAAATGGGAAGGAGACACGTGTAAAGCTATTCTAACAAACTATCAGTCTAATTCGATGAGGAGCAGCCACATGTAAAGGTGATTGGAGAGATAGTCTTGGACAACTGGTTAATTGGAATCATCTCTAACAAACTGCTACCAGAATACCCGTGTGGCTAAGCGTGTGTATTCTGGCACATTATCCGCTGCTGGGGATGACGTGGCAGCACCTCCTTGCGATGTTGGTCCTTGCGGATTTGTCTAAGTACATAATACCTTGGCCTGACCTTGAGCTCTACCGGGGTCAGTGATTGGAGACTCGGGCTCATCGCAAGGGGATTTGCCTCCTGTCTATTGCTCTGGCTTTGCGGTGCTTGATACTTGACTTTGGTTACCCACATGCTGGACTCCTGAGGTCGGGCTTGGTGCCGAGATCGGGCATTCAAGGTTGGGCTCATAACTTGCCGAGTTTGACCCATTCCTGAGCCTGGTGTTTTCCTGACCTCAAGGTCGGGGTCGGGTGACCTTTTGGCCCTTGGTCATTTTGCTGTCTGGCGCTCATTCCTGACTTTGGTCGGTCGGGGTTGAGATCGATCCGATTGTGGACTTAGTCTTTTCGTGCACTCCGATGTGGCCCCGTGATGCTTTCTCATAGGCAATTATGATACCCCTGGGGTATACGGGAACATACTCCATCAGTTAGGTACCAGAATATACATGTTTTTTGCCTTACTTGCTCCCGATTTGGTCACTCTTACAGGAAGGGAATTGCCTATGTCCCTCTACCAATGATGCCCCAAGCTGAGGCCACTGCTGCGAACTTACTGAAAAATACAGTCCCTTGTCTAACTGGTGGAATTGAAAAGGCCCCTGCCGGTATTGATATAACCCTAAATGTTGTTGACTTGGAGAAAACTCTGTTTGAGGCTTGTGAATCCGCCCTCTATCATTCACAGAGCCTTGTGACTGTTTTTACTGATATTGTCCCGATTATTACTTGTGTTGAGCCCCCTACTGCAGGTGTTGTTGATAAAGTTAAATCTTTGGTTGATACAGTGGTGTGTGACCGTGTTGCCCCTTGTGTTCTTATAGTGGAGTGTGACAGACTATTGTAGGTACAACAGAACCACCTGATAAAGACGGTTTGGCTTCTATATAAGGCGTATTGTTCATTTGAAAAGGCACATCAATCTAAAAAGCTAAATATGTTGGCTTGGTATTTCTTATACTCTACTACAATGTGAGTTTGATTTGTGACATGTGCTTTGCATTGAACCTATGCTTGAAGTTGTCTTGTTAATGTTCTTCACTTTCTTGTCCTTTTAGTAGTGGAATTTTGCAGTTCAATCTTCTTTTTTGGAGTAAATACATAGTATTCTAGTGAAATAACCCAACACTTGACTATTTTTAGTATTGCATTCTAAATGGTCTGTCATCTTTGTTTCTTGGCTGCAGGAAGAACGTAAATTCTGAACTCATAAGTCTAAACATGCCTTCAAAAGTTCAAATTATCATTGTGCCTTTGGATTTTCGAGGCATGAATGCTCAATAACTTATTTCATCTGTATTGTTGCCATTAGGTTTGTCTTTGAGTCCATGGCTGTGTTAATGAATGAGCAAAAGAATAAGTTCAAGGATACTGAAGCTGCAATTTGATCTTTGCAAGTCCAATTTAGTTAGCAATTTAGCATGCATATTTTCAATCTTCGGTACGTTTTTCAATCTAATTTAGTTATTTTTCTCAATTGTTAAAAGGTGATCTTTTCAACCTAAATTTGGAACATGTTTTATTTAGTGTTCGGAAATTGAAGGACCATTGAAATTTCTCTTATGAAGGTCTCTTCTGGTTGATTAATTTGTATATGAGAAGAAAGGAATCATCTTTTATCAATAAAATCTTTTATGCAAACTAGGTCCCAATCCAGAGATTTCCCATGAGATTAGCCTTCTTCTCCTTTAATTTAGTACTTTTATTTATCTTTTTTTCTCTTTCTTGTACTTTTATTTTCCTTTTTCGCACTGTACTCTCAATTTTTATCAATAAAATCTTCCCTTTTCAAAATAAAAAAGAAAGGAATCATCTTCTATGCCATTGATTTCATCTTCAATTTCTTATGCAGATTATTGTCTCTGCTTTCATACATATTGTTCGCTGAAACTAGGAAATATGCATCTTAATGGCCACATACAGATTATTGTTTCAGTTTATTATTGATTACTTGATTGGATACTCCCATCTACAACATGGTTTGATTGTTTCGAGAAATATCCACAATAGATGCTTTATGTACTTCCATACAGATCATTGATATGAGTTCATTCCTGAGGTAGTTGAAAAAAACAGAAGTGAAAATAGCTCTTGTTATAGTTAAGATTCCTATAGTTTGACTGCATTTAATCTGTTCTGCATTTTTTTTACGTGGTATTCGGTTTAAAAAATTTGTTATTTTAAGTTAATAGAGGATCTAATATATGCCCCGGCCTGCAAAAATATACTATTGTATGTCTAAATGCATTTTTTAAACAAGGCCATGTACTTCTTAGAGTCCATAATGACTTAATCTCATCTTTATACTATACTAGCGATCTATTCTCTGTTCTGTGTTTTGCTTAACTAATGCAGCCATGCTCTGACTTTCCTTCTCTATTGCTCATATCCTAAGTAGAGCAGTTTGGGCCATGTACTTTGTCCGAGGAACTGAAATTGAGAGGCATTGAAGGTGTGGAAAATCAGTGACGTGCCAAGTAATAGCTTGGAAAAGTGAGAAACAACTATCAAATGAAGGAGGAAATGAAAATGGACATCATCACTCTATGGGATGATATTAACTTGTTGAAAAATGTGACAAGTAATATATAGCTTGGAACACACACTAATTAGAGTGTGAAAAGAGAATCTTTTCACTACTAAAGTTTGTGATGTATAAAATGTAAATATATAGCATCTTGTAATACACTACGTACCTACTTAATTTGTATAACTATTTGGGTATTAAATGAAAATATTGATCTTTTTTTTTGGTTATTTATCAAATATCTGTGTAATAGAACTTGTAAGGAATAATGATAATATTATATGCTATAAATTTATATACATATGATATCAATGTATCATACGTCTTTATGATATAAATGTGTCAGTAAAATTTCATGATATCAATTGATCATTGTTTTGTACAACATTATTGTGTCATAATTTGGTGACACTAATGTGTTTTACGATTAGTGACATTATATTTAGTGTCACTAGCTGTCACTTTTCGTGACGCTTTTTTAATGTCACATAAACTTTCAATGATCCTAATTTAGTGTCACTATAAGCTCTTTTTCTACTAGTGATCGTAGCCACCGTCTCCTCCATCGTACTCGTAGTCTCCCCCAAAATTACCCCATTGGGAGGGGTCGTACCATGAAGGGTGCTGAACTGGGGGACACATAGAGGAGAAATGCCCTTTCTGGATGGTAAGCATATATGGGGGCTATTGCCCTTCGGTTTTCATCCTCGATGCGGTTGACCCGGAAGCTCAAATCCCAGAGTCCTTCCAACAGAGCACGTTGGTTCTCAAGCACTTGTGTTTGATATGGATCGTATTGAGGGGCGGCGTGAGGTGGGACTGGGATGTCTTCAGGAATGGGAGGGGCTTGTTCTTGTGCGGGCTCATCTTCTTGGTCTTGAAAACATGGTGGGATGGCCGGAGGGAGGCAATAATGGCGCACAATAGGTGTCTCTACTCGGAACGGAATAGTGGGTAGCCCTTCGGAGGGGATTGTGATGTAACGAGTGGGTTTTTGGGTAAATGGCTCATTTTTAAAAGATTTTCCCCTTGTGGTCACAGTGAGAGAACTTGATGTCTTTTGTATTTCCCAGATGTGTCGTATCAAAAAGAAGAAATTCGGTTCTGGGCGCATTGTCCATGTAACCGAATTTTGTAGCTATGTGGATAATGACTCCCTCTATCCAAAATTTTCCTTGTGCAGTGCACTTTGTAAAGGTGTTCCCACATATGGTTCACAATGTTGTAGTGGGAGGGGGGTATGTTAAACAATGCATTAGCTAGAATACACACATCACTTATTCGTGCTTGGTGATTCTTGGGGCGTCCAAACACAAAGTTAACCAAGTATTTCAAGAAAATGAGTAGCACCAGGTGTTGGACATGGGTATGATAAGATTAGAGGAGCTAAAGGTCATCTCCCCGTCATTTTTTTCCACAATTCAAAGCCATACCCGGTGTCGGGCTCTTGGGCATTTCGTGGTGGTACAGGTAAACCAGAGTGCTCTGCAAACTCACGTTTTGTTGTGAATATTCCTCATTGAATAGACGAAACGTGAGTTTATCCTCCCTATCATCATCATCATCATCTTTGATTCTCTCAACAGAACCCAAGAATTCATACACAAGTTTATCATTTGGGTTATATTTCAACCCCAAAATGGTGCTCATCCCCAACAATTCACACAAATGAAACATCATGGCAAGGATACCTAGCTCATCCAAAGTACTAATGCACAGGAAACATGAATGGTGTACCTCTCTTTTGGTTTGGGCCAAGAATTTTGCCCGGTGAGCAGATGAGGTGAGGATGATGTTTTCATAGTCGGGAATGGGAGCTCTTGATGAAGAACTTTCTACCCTTGACCTTTTTGGTGCCATTGTTGATTGAAAATATGGATTTTGAGCTCCAAATTTCAGACTTGGGGTGTGGGGTGGTGTTTTTCGAATTTTTGATGGTGAGGGGAGGATGATTTTTATTAGGTTAGGGTTGTAGAGGGAGATGAGAGGAATCTTTTGGTGGTGGTTTGGATGGATATGGCGAAGAATTGAGGGAGTAATTGAAGGAAGAAAATTTGGCTATGGAGGTTTGGGGAGGGTTTGGTCGATTTGGGGGTTGAAATGAGGGAGATGAAGCTGGCTCGCGTAATTAAACACTGTGTAATCGCATTTACTCGACCGAGTAAGGGTGTATACCCGATCGGGTAGACGAGGCAATGAGCTCTGGGATTACATGTTTTACGCATACCATGTCGGGTAACTGACCGTACCCGATCGGGTATCTTCCTTTTCTTCGATTTCGGAATTTTTCATACCCGATCGAGTTTTTTAGGCAGTAGCTCTGGGATTGTGATATCTGCTCATACCCGACCGGGTATATGGAATTAAAAGTGGTTGAACAATATGAAATGCAGAGAAGCCAGTCAGTGGGCAAAATTCTTGACAAGCCTTTACTATATGGACCTGAGCTTGAGAAGTATCCACATTTCTTCATTTTGACAAGCCGGTCACGATGGTCTACCTCAACCACGAAGGCTTGAGAAGTATCATATCATAAAATTCCTTCTTACTCTGGCAAATTATACCATGGGATCGGTGCACCATGCGCATGGTGTACCGATCCCAAAACGGCAACGTTTTATTACTAATTAAAACAGAGAGCGGATAAATTCTATAACCTTCTCCGGCGTACGCTTCATCCCTGCGGCCAAAAATTCAATTCCTTTTCTGATACAAATCTTCGTTGTTGGACCTCCATGGTGAATCGAATTTATTATACGTCGTGCAATCAGGAAGGGAGGTGTCAGCCTAAAGTCCTCAACTTATTAGAATCAAGAATAAAGTCAACCGTGTAGCAAACCTTATTTAACTTATTAGAATCAAGAATAAAATCAACCGTGTAGCAAACCCTATTTAAGATAATTTGGTATGCTAGCCATGACTGGATGATGGAGACAAATAAGAGGCTTCTTCATCTCCGGCCGTGCTTGTTACAGGTTGAAGATGAGAGGTTTGTGAAATAGAAGATCGAATTTGTTTGGGAGTGGATCAGTTACATTTGATAATACATTGAGTTACATCTTTTTAGAAGTGATTACATCTATTAATACGTGAGTTACATTTGTATACACCTAAATTACATTTGTCATCTACGTGAGTTACATTTGTAATAATATGAGTTACATCTTTTTACACGTAAAGTTACATATTTTTACACGTAGAGAGTTACATATTTATACACACGAGTTGCATTTATCCTGACTGGACGTGAGTTACATATTTCTACATATAAAATTACGTATTTTACATAGGTTAATATAATAGTTCGATAATATGTTAAAATTACATAGGCAATATTGGTCTCGTTTGAAAGATCATGAAAAATAAAAAATGTTGATATAAATTTTATAAAAATCGGATCAAAAATAAAAAAGTTATTACTATTTTTTAAAAAAAGAGAGGTAAAAAATAATATCAACTGTATGCCGGTATACGGTGCTCACCGTATACCGGTCATACGGTATAACAAATGCTTACTCTCGGTGAAATTTATTACATTTTCCATTAAAAAGTGCTATATAAGTACTTTTGATTAAGGGAAAACTGTCAAATAGGTCCTCGAACTTTCATAAAAAAGTCAATTAAGTCCTTCTATAGGAGACTCTGTCCGGTCGTCGCGATTTGGGGCGGTTCCCGGTGAAATTTTTTGATAAATTTTTTTGAGCATCTTATTCATCAAGTCTAGTTTACTCATACCAAATTTCAGCTAAAAATTTAATCGGGAGCGCAATCAAATTAATTCGAGAACGCAAAAATGCGCAGTTATCTTCAAGAATTAATTTGAATGAGTTCCTGATTGAATTTTTAGCTGAAATTTGGTATGAGTAAACTAGACTTGGTGAATAAGATTCTCAAAAAAATCTTTAAAAAAATTTCACCGGAAACTGCCCCAAATCGCGACATCCGGACAAAACTTCCTATAGAAGGACTTAATTGACCTTTTTATGAAAGTTCGAGCACCTATTTGACGGTTTTCCTTTTGATTAATCACAAATCACAAGTCACAACCATGAAAATAGAATCCAAACATTTCAAACCTCCAGGGCGTTTATAAGTTTAGTTGCCCTTTAATGTGCACTAGTAGAACACCCGTGCGATGCACGGTTGGTGAAATTTCATCTATAAACTTTTAGTCAAATTAGAAATAAATATTGAATTTGTAATTTCTATTGAATTGTTTAGAATTATATAATAATACAATTTGACATAAAATGAAATATACTCCCTCCGTCTCATAGAAAGGTTCTAAGTTCCTGTTTAGGACGCTCCGCATAAAGGTTCTCGTTTTCATTTTAAAAAACAATTCACAATCTTAAATGGCATATTAGTAACTAAATATTAAAAATAATACATTTATAATATCACAGTTATCAACATTAATCTCATTATAATATATACCCATTAAAATTATTTCTCGATATAAACTCGAACTACCTTATTCAATTATTGTTTTCATAACCGTGTCATTTTGTCATATGAAACTTTCAACAGGACAGTGGTAGTACTTAATACAATTTTCCAATGATTCGGAGTAGTACACAATTTTTTATAGCCCCACAAAATAGTAAGTAACATGAAATAAAAAATAATTTGAAAACCATTTGGTTATTGGTTTTATAGCCAAATCGCTAATCTTTTAACAAAAAAATGTTCCAAAAAGCAGCGTGTTGAGAATGAAACGCTGAATCCAAACTACCCCATTATATTCCATTCAAAAATATTATGAAACACTTCTTTATACACAAATTCTTGATATCACAAGTTTGAAACACTTCATTTGCAATATATATTTTGTATGCTTGACTGTTACTTTAAACACAATTGCATAAAGTTAATCATGACTAAAACATGTTTTTTCAATAACAAACAAAGACGCGACAATGATTGTCTTTAATTTTTATTTGTAGTCATGTTTGGGTATTATCGCTTCCGAAATTGGAATGATAAGCTAACATTTGAAATTGTTAGTGATTGTTTGAGAATTGACACTTTCTGTCTCACACTAACCCCTTTTAAAATTCTTTTCTTCTGGTAGTAATCTACCTGCACGATACACAAATGATTTTGCCAAAGAACTTTCCCTTTTCAAAAGTAATTTTATTGAAGGTAAATTAGTTTAGTAAATAAGTAATAGGGTTGTACGAATTACATTGTTTTAACGAATTGTCTGGGTAAATAGGCAAATCAGGGGGTGCAAATATGTGGAAATGTGTAACCATATCTGACAACTTGTGAGCATGGACCATTGCCTAATCAAGTTCCAGGGCCTTGCATTTTAACAAGCTTTTTATTATTAGTCTAGTGCTGTTAGAAAGTCTGAGGCCCAATAAAATGCATCCCTCACCACTCGGCTCCTCATTAGTCCATTCCACAAGAGAACCAAACCCTTCATTCTTGTGGCTGATTAAGACATTCTCTCCAACCCATTACAAAGAAAACCAAAATTCCCTAACTTAAATCCGGCGAAAGCAAATGACGCAGCGAGATTTCTCTACTCATTGTCCGTCAATGGTCTGCCACAACCTGGAACCTCCAGCGACGAAGACACCGATTGTCCGCAATAGGTCGCCCACTAATGCCGTATAGGTCGATTTACATGACAACGGTAAGATCACAACCCCCCACTATATGGTAGCGAAACCACCCACCATAGTGAGCCTACAGATCAGGTAGATCCGTCGATATTGTTGATTGCGTTTTTTCTTCAGCCGTTTCAATTTTTTAAATTTTCTATCAATGAACTTTATATTCGATTATATTTTATCTACATAAAACATAACATCTTCAAAAAAGTTTTTATTTGAAAATTTAGTAACACACAAAAAGTCTATTGATTAGAGTCATGTATATGCGTTTATCAAAATTATTTGTACTCCGGTTTACGTAAAATCATTTTTACATTAAAATTGTTATAACTTTTTTAAGTCTTGATTGTTGCGCTAGTCAGAATTCCCAAACACATCTTTAATTTTTTAAACAGTATTAATTTAATCAAAAGTATTTCAGAACATTTTAATTAATTTCTTCGAAATTTCAAGAAAATCCCCTGCTCTCTTACATGATACACCAACCTCAGCTCTTTCTCTTTGCCATTTCACTACATTTAACGTTCAAAAAAAAGGTATTGACCGGACACTTTCATTTTCTTTAAAATACAGAGTTTTTTCCCCACACATTCTCTACAAAAATCTTGAAACCCACTCCACCCAAAATATAACCTAATCGGCACCCTCACTTTATCCCACTTATTCTTACTCTGTACATTGTTATCTCTCTCCTCAAGGCCAGACCTCGATCTATTGTCCCTTTTCACAACTTCATCAGATTTTGCCATCACCCTCTCTCACATTGGCGACACTGAAGCCCATCACTTGCTTGGCTTAAATCTGCATCCAGGAAAAAAAAATCATGAATATGCTTTATCAACAACTTAAAAGAAATCATTTTACTTATGTTTAACACTTCAACGAGAACCTTACAGTTATTTGCAGCCGTAAGGATTTTCTTACACTTCAACGGGAGCCTTACACAACATAAGAGCCTTACACTTCAACGTCTTAGTAATATTTAATTCAAGTCAATGCAAAATTTGTGGGGGGTTTTCTCACCAGACAAACGGGTTGGAGATTTGAAATAGGTAGGCTTTCTTCAGGTCTTTGTTTTCTATGTAAATATGTAAATATTGTATGGTAGATGTGTCAAATTTCTATCTTCTGTTTTACTTTGTTAATTTTGTTGTAATATAGTCCGTAGTTGATACTTGATCTTTATACGAAGTATGAGTTATTTGAATTAGTAATGTAATTTCTCCCAAATATTTGCCACCTGAAACTCTTGATAAAAATGAATCCATATCTTGAAATCATTTTTCAGATAATATGCTACGGAGTATAATATGAATTTCAAAAAAAAAAAGAAAAAAATACAATACTCCGTATCAATTTCGCACATGCACACCCATGCATACTTCAAAGATAAAACTTCATTCTTCATTTCTTCATCTTCCACATTTACCCCAATGTTCACAATATATGTTTCCAACATATAGCATTATGAACACTTAAACAAAAGAGATTGAAACAATTATGAAAACTGAACGGATGTGTTGATGCTATCCACTACAATTTTGGTCTATTTATAGCGGTCCATGGAGGTGAAATCTATGAAACCACCCGTAAGGAGTGTCCGAGTCAACTGTTTTCACTTAATTAAAGAATATGCAAAAACTTTGAAGTAATTTACTACGTATGTATTACGGAGTGTGAGAATAAATTAATCATATGTCTCATCAAATCAAATGTCTAATCGATGCATTGTACCGTTGTCCTTCAATTTTTGTTCTTTACTCAACTTTCCTACTTTGTATGCCCACATGGATTGCACGCTACTTTCACTTAATTAAAGATATTGAAAAGATTTTGGGATAAAATTTGTCATAACAATGAACATGGCCACTTCTTTTCACTATTTCTCTTTAATTTGTACTTTTTTTATGTTGATGTTTTTGAGCGGCAAACATATAGCAAAAACATTTTGCTTTTAGATTAGAATAGATATGCTTTATGTAGTCTAGTTAGGTTGGCATAACTCCAAAATACTTTTGAGGCCAATTTAGTTGAAGAATTTCCGATGAGAGAGAAAGTGACTAGGGGAGGGTCATATTTCAATTTATAGTAATTTGTACATTTACTATATTGAAATAAAGTGAAGATGAAATAGTATGTAAAAATACATATTCTAACTAATTATATACTAACTCCGTCCCGCTATGATTGTCTCATTTTACCTTATCGGTCCGTCCCACTAAAATTGTCTCATACCGTAAAATATGTGTGACTTTAAATCATTCTTACTTTATTCTTACTTTACCAATTCAATAGCAACCACAAAAATCACTTTTTATTAATTTGCGTGTCACTCCCTCTTGTCCCATTGTTAGCGGGACGGAGGGAGTAGTTATTTGTAGTCTAAAACTACCAAACTGCATATAGATTAATAAAGTAAAAAAATCCATTCTCCCTTTCCCTCTCCTCTCCTCCGAAATCCCCTATCCAACCGGCCCTTAGGTGTGTTTGAGAGTTGGGTTTTAGAGGGGAGGGAAAAGTTAATGTGGGCTTATGACACTCTTTTTCATGTTTGGGAGTTTAAAAAATTGGAGGAGATGATTTTAGAGGGTTTTTGTGACCCTTCAAAACCCTCCAAATGCTTAATTTTTAAGTTCCCCCAATTTGGAGGGTTTTGGAGGATAATTAACAAGATGGTAATTTAAGCTAAATTAAAAATGAATATCAGCTCAATGATTTGAATTCATCATATCTGAAGGTGATTTTAATTATAATTCTTTCAAAAACCCTCTTCTTCCAGTTTTATTACTCCCAAATACAAAGAAGTGCTTACTCACCCTCCCCCTCCCTTTCCCCTCCAACAACATACCTCCAAAGTCTTCCCCTCCCCTTCCCTTCAAACTCCCAAACATACCTAAGGTATGCTTGAGAGTTTGGAAGAAGGGGAGGAGAAGGCTTTGAAGGTTAGCGGTAGGAAGGAAAAGTGAATGAAATACTTCTTGTTTGGAATTGGTAGTTACAAGAAGACTCCACCAAAACTATCTATTTCATAAATCCTCCTCACGCTCTTCTCCCTTACAAAAACTAACTTCCAAACATACTCTTATTGGAAACAAATCGTTCCACCTAATGTTTCATTTTCATTGCAGATTCCTCATTTCCCCTGCTCGAACGAGATTGCTGTTTCCTTCATAGATGTGATGTCTGAGAGTTCCTCGAAGGAAGTCTAGCTGTTCAAACCCCCCTTTAAGCTTTTCCCACTGCAAAACAGTATATGCAGACATTTTATTCTACCATAACTTGTGTTTTCTAAGGTCTCACATTAATTACTTTGTTTCTGAGTCACATTGTGATTAATATCAGTAACAAAAGTAAATATGGAAAAACAAAAAATAATGAAAATACGGAAAATGATAATTATCAATTCCATGTGCATAGATAAAAGTATTCCCTTTCAATTTATATTTCTCGATATTGAAATTTAGCATTTAAGTTCGTTATACTATTTTTACTGAATTGTAAATTTGTAATCTTAAAACATTGTTCCAATATTAAATTTACTTGATCGTTATCCTAAACATATTTATACAAATTATACAGAGTATTCAATAACTTAGTATTTACAATTATTTAAATTTCTGGAGATAGATAACAAACTCAATTAAAAACAGTGTTTAAGCCAATTGAAACGTGACACATATTTTCTTTTCTTTTCCTTCACAAATGATAATTATCAATTTCATGTGCATAGATAAAAGTATTTTCTTTCACTCTCTATTTCTTCATATTGAAATTTAGCATTTAAGTTTGTTTACTTTATAATTATATATTATTATGCTTAACTTTGAATTGTAAATTTGTAACCCTAAAAATTGTTGCAATATTAAATTTTACTTGATCATTGTCCTAAACATACTTAGTATTTAATACCTTAGTATTTATAATCATTTATTTTTTAGAGATATATAACAAACATAATTAAAAATAATATTGAAGACCTTCTCTTAGTATGATAATAGTGTAAGCCAGTAAGGTATAAGGACACATTGGCATTAAGAACTTACTTCCTGTTGAGAGACAGATACAAGTTTCCACCCAGCCGCAGTTATGTACCGGCGCTTCAGCATTGTATGACCTAATGGTGATTCTGTGTATAAAAAGGGCTACAAAATTGTAGTTACAGGACGAAAGATGATGACACTAATTGTACACTAGTTTTCTTTTTTACTTTTCTACATGAGCACTGCAATAGTCTCTAAGAACTATAATACTGTACGTTCAATGTGATATCAATAATAGCGACAGCTTATTATTTAACAATACTAGTTACTCACCTATGTTTCTTGAGAAATGTGTGGGACCATCAATCTCAAGAACAATTCTTTTGTCAATCACAACTGCATCCAATGTGTAACCATCTACATCATATTCCCTCACCCAATCTAGCCCAGTGCTAACAAGAAGGCGGGCAACCTCTTCCTCGAAGGAAGAGGTCACTTTCTGATTAAATCTTTTGGTTCTTCCAGCGCAAGAGATTTTTTCCTCAAGACCTGGTTTAAGGGATAAGGGAAGATTTGGGTACTCTAGCTTCAAGCACTGGTTTGTTCGATGAACTTGAGAGGCAAACATGACATCCTCCTTGTACTGTTCAGAAATGCGTTGCTCCTCAAAATGGTTCATAGTATTCCACACATGGGAGAAGAAAACTCGATCCAATTGCCCGAAAACAGAAAATGACCAGCATATATTACCGAGCTGATCTCGGTTGAAAACAAGAACAGGAGAAGTTGATACAGTTTGCAGTTTGTCAGTAAGGCCACCACTTTCTGCTCCGCTTTCTTCATGGGATATGCTGGGACCTGTTCTCTTCACCTAAAACAATATGATCTTATTAGAATTTTTTAAGATAAGATTTACCTCTTACTTATATATTAAGCCTAGATTTGGTAAATGTCCGATATGAGACATTTGAAGTTTGAATGTGTCCCCTCAACTCAGTCCCACCCAGTTTACAACATGAGGGTTGGATAAATAAGTAAAACCAATCTCAAATGGGCTATTCCAAATTATAGGAGTCAAATAAATAAAGAAACAAACAAACCACCATCAAACAAGACTATGATGCTATGTAAAATTTGGCCCAAAGTCCCAACTCACCTCAGAACAATCATAGAGAGTAGAAGTTTATTTCATACTTATACACAAAACAAGATCTAGCAAAGATCTCCCGTTTGTGTCTTGTCTGAATCTTTTTTGTCCGATCTAGATTTTTCTTGTATGTTCTTATTTGAATGCTATGGTCTTGTCTAATTTGATTGTTTCTGCTCTAGTCTAATTTGTATGTGCCTGATGTGATCTTATTAAATAAAAGTAAACAATAATGAAAAGAAATGATGTAAACAAAGCAGCACCTTATAATCCGAGCAGCACTGGAATTGATTGGGATCACTAAAAACATGATCTAAAGCATCAAGCAACAGATCCACAGGTTCATAAAGTGAAGCAAATGCCCACAACATCTGGGCAATTTCTTGTGGCTGAAATGTGTGAATTACAGCACAGGCTCTTCTTGATAATCCGGTAAAAAGTTCAGGAGCAGAATGACGCATAGAAGCAAAAGCACCTGCTACATTAGCAACATTTTGTGAATTGAACTCATCAATCTTAGCTGATGCCACCTCTGCAACTCTATCCATTTCAGACAGATAGAGCAACCCATTACCCACCTTTGACAATGCCCATGCAATATTTGAGACACCCTGTGGCGAGCACTCGGGCAAGGATGTCATTGCAATGGCGACAAGCATACACATTTCCCTACGACGGGCAAATGCCAACCTTTGGCTTGTGGCCATGGAAACATTCTCCATGTTCTTAGCGATTCTATGCAATGAGGTGGCAATATTCAGAGGAGAAAGTGGTGAAGGGGTGAGACCTTTTGCAACAGCCATGATTGTGTCAGAGGAAACTTCCAGAACTTCCTCAGCAGTTTGGGCATCAACAATTGCTTTGTTCAAGCTGATTTCTTTCCTACGGTCTGATGGGCCTGAAAATCGGGAAAGCCTTTCGACGAATGTTTCCATTGTTTTAGCCCTCCTCTCTTCGAACATAGCACCAGCAAATACACTTATATTCCTCTTGATATCATTCTTATTATTATCATCATTAGTATCAGATAAACGTTCATCATCCAAATCAAAACCGTCTTCCTTTGAATTAAAATTTAACATCTCATCATCTGTTTTGACAAATTGTTCAACCTTTTTTTTAGTCTGGAACTTTTTCTTGATCTTCTTTTTAGTGTTCTCACCATCAATTATTATGCCCTTTGCAACAGGGGTTAATCCTCTAGCCTCAATAGACTTAAGTGCAATTTTCCTTGCCTTCGTACACCAATCCATTTTGTCGGTATCATGGAGCAACCTAGACTTGGGTTGCTTTTCTTTTGTCTTCTTTGGAGAAATCCTCATTTCTCCTAGAAACTTAGCTTCCCAATCTACACTGTCAGATGTCCCCCCACTTACTTCACTAACAATGTATTCATCTTCTTCGCTTTCATCATCATCAAAATCCAAAATTTCATCATTATAATTTCTAGATGGATTTATGCAGCATGCCATACAGAAATGAAACCCTGATTTTGAAGAAAGTTCAAATCTTGGACACGTAATGAAGAATGCATTTTTCGGGGTCTCACTGAAAAGATGAACAGCCGGAAACGATAGAAGGGGTTTCTTAAACGTTAAGAATGGGTTTAGCGATACAGTTTCCATGGATTGGTGATTTAGTGCTAGTTGTACAAGATGGGTTGGGGAGGGGGGTCTTCAACATTCAAGGAAAACTAACCTTAAGTGGAAAGTAAGCATCAGAAAAGCACTCACTGGATGTTCAACATTCCACCAGCGGCGGCACTAGAAATTAGTTATAGGGGGGACGATGAAATACTGGAAAACCTACCGGCGGGCAGCGCGCGGCGAGCTGTCTCCGGCCTCCGGAATTCCTGACAGTGTGGCGCTGCTGCTTAATTGCGAGTTGCTGGTCATGGGCAAATTGTCACTCCAAACAGCACTCTGCTTAGTCTTCCTATTTGCCTCGCATGGGGCCTTTGGGCTGTGGGCCCCCTGATGGGGACTCCTTACTCGACATTCCGTTAGCCAACTCAACTGTATTAACGTGTTAATCTAACAAATGTACTCGATTAACACTAAAATCCCGAATTTGTATACTTAAAAAGATCAAATGCAATATAGCGTACTCTTTACTCCACCTCGTATAAGTTGGTGTACTCAATTGACCCTTTCCTCCATCCAAAAATGATGTCTTTCCAAAAAAGCAATATGACACGCTAATTTTATAATGAGTTTAACTGAGACACTGACGGACGCAATAGAGCTTTCATCACCCAATCTAAACTTTGTAGTTCTACTAGTAGAAATAAAGAAAACAACCAAAACAACATTCAAGTCAAATCGAAAAATAAAAATAAGGGAAAGATAATTAAAATAAATACAAATTTGAAACACGTCTTCCAAATTCTAACCACACGATACCTCCATAGCGACAGTTTGGGAGGGGGGCGGACTGGCAATACTGCATATTCTTCCTCATCTTTCTCCTTATTCATAACATTCTCTGCTACCGAACAATCGAAAGTGTAGAAGATGTCATCGTGTAGCCAATTGCTGTATTGATTAACAATGGACTCTATTACTTCTTCTTGCCATGTTGAGGAGTTGAAGATGAACCGCGAGGCTGAAATTCTGTGGCCGCACAAGCCTAAAACAGTCGGCGAAAAACAAAACCCTACATGAGGGAAAGGTTGTTCTTTCCATGGTATTAAGTACTTCACAAAAAAATTAATTATTAAATTGGATTAATAATTAATAAGTGAAAAAGGCAGCCCGACCTCCGTATTAGGGACTCATAGAATACATGTATGTTGAACCTATACTTCGGTCCGGTATGGCCTGGTACCGGTCCTCATTTTATGAGAACCGATCATGGTTTGGCTTGAAACCGCTATGGTACGGATCGAGATAGAGATTTAGAGATCCATTTGAAACCTCATTTCCCGGTTCGGTACCATGTGAGTTCGGTATTTTCGTCCACCCCTATCATCTATTGATATACCTAGTTAGCTTTTACACAACAAAAAATATGATCAGATCATTTAAAAAACATCATGGTGCTCGTACTTTACAAAAGTATAATGAAACGTAAATTTCTAGTACTTAAAACAATAGAATCATGAATTGGTCAATTAAATGAATGCATTAAATAAAAAGAAGATCAACAATAGTTCATATGCGAAAAGAAAAACCTCCTATGCATGATGGATAAAGATGTCGTCCCAAAAGATTAAAACTTATAATACTACTACATTTTTGACGATTTTTCAAAAAGCCATCTCAAAATCCAGGTTTTTCTAAATCAAACAATTTTCAAGTATAAACTTCTACACATCACCAATAATAAACATAGTTATTGCCAGAAAATATCCCGGGTAGAGAAACTAGCAGCATTTCAGTATAGTGAAAATAGCGTAGGGGAACACAAGAGGTTGGTGGCCTATTTATAGGCATATACAATATGCCCAGCAATTAAATGCTACATGGGTTTGGCCCGATTTATCAACTAATACTGACGTTAATGGGCCAGCCAGCCCAATAAGTAATTACATAATCCCGGACCAATATCCGATAGCCGGACTGTGATCTGAGCTTGGTCGGGCCAAAACTCGAGTGTAACGGGCTGATAGTCTTGGACCAGGCCCATTATTCCAACACGAGTCCCCCACTCCCTTAGTCGAGTAGTAGACTCGTCTAAAAGGCAGTAGTTAAGCTGTTTTGGAATTGGTCCGGTCCTTGGTCCGGTCGGCCGGTCATTAACGAGCCTTGAATTAGATCAAATTGCTTGTGAAAGGAGGGAGTCTTCCTTGTTCCGACCGGGAGACCTCTTCCTCTGTTCATGATGAGGGGGTGCCTCGTTAAAACCGTACTAGGAAAAAACACAGTGCGAAAACATCCCAGTGAAGGAAAAAGAGTACACCGGAACCTTAAAATAAAGCAAAGGAAGGCTAGTCTCCTCGATTCTTGATTGAGTGTCTGCTTTACTGGTAAGTAGAGATATGTTCCGGAAAGGCCAGTCCCACGACTGTTTGCCAGTGGCGGCGGTCGAGCCAAGGTATGCTCGGGAGAGACCAGTTGCACAAATGTCTGTTGATGATGCAGAACCGAGGTGTGCTCGGGAGAGGCCAGCGGCTCAGCTGTTTGTTTATAATGTCGAGCTGAGGTGTGCTCGGGAAAGGCCGGTTGCACGATGTCCACATTATTCCCCACTGTTTGCGAAAGGATTTGGTTTCCTTCGTCTGGGTAGCAGTCCAGGTCTTGTTTGTTCGACCAGCAGCCCGGGGTCTTGTTTGTCCGCTTTGCAGCTCAAGGTCTTGTTTCTCTGACTAGCAGTCCGGGGTCTTGTTTGTCTAATTAGCAATCCAGAGTCTTCTTCCAAATTTAGCAAAAAGGTGATCCCTCTGGCTACTGCGTGCAGCTGCAACGGTCGCCATCTGCTAAGGGAATGGCAAAGACCGGTCTTCACTTGTGAGCAATGCTCGTCTGACGTTCTCAGGAGGATGCGGTGAGTAGTCCACCGTGATAACTAGTCCCTGTTGATTGCTATTATTACTTGTTACAGACATGGCAAGTAGGAGAGGTGCTCTCACTGCTTTAGCTGCAGTGCAAGATGCTAAGTCTCGGCCTTCGACGTATGATGAAGGTCTGTCTCATGCATGGAAGAAGCTCGGAGCTTCTCCGTCTGGTGCTGGGGAAAAGCGAGAAGCTTCCCTGCTTTGCGAACAATGACTTTCCAATAAGAACAAAGGTATAAACTGCTCCTTAGGCCGGGTAAGGGGAGATATCCCAACCGGCAGAATCCTCGCTTACTCCGTTCATTTCCTCGTATGTATGGCATGTCAGAGAAGCGCACCTGCTTCCCTGCCCTGACCTTTGTTTCCTCGTAGGTATGGATGGTTGGAGAACACATTTCCTGCCCTGGATGCGACGAAGGATGCTAATTCTCGGCCTTTGACATCCGATGCAAGTCTATCTAATGTCGGGGAGAAGCACACAACTTCTCTGCCTGATGCCTAGGAGAAGCACGCAACTTCCCTCATAATGGCAGGGAGTGCTTAGAGCTTCTCTGCTTGATGCTAGGGAGAGGCATGCACCTTCCCTGCCTGATGCTGGGGAGATGCACGCACCTTCTCTGCCTGATGCTGGGGAATGCTAAGAGTTTCTCTGCATGATGCTAGGGAGAGGCACTCGTCTCCATGAAGAATAATTTTGTCAAGACGAGTAACGGCATGAAACTGAAAATGAGTAGACATGACCAGACCAACAGAAGTCTGGCTCGCCCCGCATCCCATACGAAGCATGTAAGATATTTGCAAAAGTTAGCCATATGCTGAAGGAATGGTTGAGACCGTGCTTGCGATGAAGAAATAGTCGTCATCCGGGAGGACGGTGGGCAAGCCCGATCATAGAATCAGGATGACAACGTTTAGTCCTTTCATGATGAATCCAAAGCAACGGTCATCACCCAAGTGAAGGAAGATCTGACCAGTCTTGAAATGGGAATGATGGTGTTGTTTGTCAAACTTGAGGTTCGACACACGCCTACAAGATGATGTGCATAGCAAAGTCTGAGATTAAACTCTCGATGTCATTTGACCTTCAAGCTTCCCTAATTGGGATGTAAGTTTCCAGACTGAGAGTGGTGCTTGGAGGACTCCTTGATGCAGGGCAAGAGAGCGATGTTCGGGCGACTCATTCCTTGTGGTTTGTTGAGTCAGTGAGAGAGTTCCGATGCAGCTCTACTCATACATGTCAGTGGTCGAAGGGTTGCATGATCTTGTTCGGGTGACGGGGAGCCCATAGTGGCCTGACCTTCTGCGATTTGAGGATGGTCGGAATGCTAGGCCAACTCGACATTCTCCAAATAGCATGGAGAGCGAGCTTGGCGGGACCTCCACTTTACTTCGTCTTGATGAACGGTTGTTGACGAGGATGGCATGTGATTGCATTCGGTCTTCCAGGATATGTGTCGATCCTTGCGTGAGCATTACTCGATCGCATGTGGTCTGGGAAGGATGGATGATCTCGCTCCTTGACACGAACTTGAAGCAGGCTACCACGATGCTACCTTGAAGGTATACGCGACTTGCCATGGAGTAGATGATCAGAACATGCCCAAGCTTGGTATGATAGGTTGACATATCGTCTTCCCGGATTTTATCCTGAGAAGTTTGGTTTGTCCGGGATCATGTTCGACCCTGATGAGTTGGAGAAGGTGGGTGACGACGACGACCTCGATACTTGGTCTCCTAGACACTTCCCGGAGGTTCCTGATGATCTAGATGGAGTCACTCACGAGCCTGATTTGGGACTGTTTTCAAAGTTGTCACGGAGAAGATGGTCGTGATCTTGGAACTATTCTTCATGATTGCTTTATTGCTTGAGCTTGTATGTGATACCTTGAAAATTTGAAATAAAAATAAATAAATAAACAAATCAGATAAGTTATATCTGATAAATCAAATAAAAGTAATATCAAAATATTTTGTATTATACTTGGTGTATAAAAATATACGCACACGTCATGCAATAGAATTAAACACTTATGTGGCATCAAAAAATAAAATAAAAATAAAAATGAAAATAAATCAGATAAAATATAGGTGACAGAATAAATAAATAAAAATAATAGTAAGAATATTATAAATTACTAATAAAAGTATCAAAATGATAAATGAAAATATCAGATCATAAAACAATCTCACATGCTAAGATCACCTACCAAATCATGTATATACATTATGTACATATATACATATATACACACATTTATATGTAAAAAAAATACATTTAAGTAAATAAAATAAAAATAAAAGGAAACATAAATATCAAGAGGAATCAAATCAGGAACTAATACACATGTCATGTTCATCAACTACCAACCTATCATTATGTATAAACATTATTATTTTATTTTTATTATTTTACTATTCATATAATTATCAAATAAATAAAATA